TTATTATTTAAAATCATCACTTTCGCAACTTTCACTTGATATTCATACATACTTTGATTTCAGAACCTATATTGTCTTATCTTATCTCTGTATTGTCTTGTGACTCCCAACGTTCAATCCAGTAGACATATTAGCCAATATAATATAAATTATTTTAGATATTTATAATGATCTTTTGCGTATACTTGTAGAAAAGTTAACTTTAGATATTATCTCCACTATAAATGTAATAAATTCAGACACATCTCAATCAGTAAAGGGCCAACATCAATTGCGCTATGAGCTCTGCTAACCGCTATTATATCACATGCGTACACTTTCAAATGAACGCTATTTTAAACGACTAACAACAGTCAAAAGTTTTATTAATCCTCGGTGATTCCCTAAAAATTAATGTTAACAGATCCCCATGTTTGGTAAGTACTTTGGCTTGACTGTAACAATTTAATACTAAAAAACAATTGGACTATGAACTGTCAATAGTTGCTTGCTTAAAGATATATATTTAAGTAACTAACTATACGAAAACACAGTTAGGTTACTAATTTTTTATGCATGCTAGCGCGAGCATATATTTCGTTAACTAACTATACTAAAACTTGGTTGGAATGCTAGTCACTGAATTGGTACTTAATAAATGTGCGACCTCGATATTTACCGCTTAAGTGGTCAAACAAGTAAAAAGTGTCCCACAGCGTTTGTCATGAGGTCTTCCTACTTTTACTGGTATTGGACCATTCCTAAACGGTCTTATGCTCGCAAAATACCTTTTTCTATCTCAGGTGTTTTTGAGGGTAAGGTATGCCCTCGGTAAAAAAAATAGGGCTTGCATCTGGTGTGCATCCAGCTAGGGCATCCACAAGGGGTCCCTCCAGCCCTGCTTCACAGATCCCTCGTATCAGGTGTTTATCGTAAAGGATATGCAACATCAAGTACGAAAACTACTATTTTCATCGAGATACGGCATTAAAATTTAGATTCTACTTTGTTTGATACCTGATTTTTTTGTTTCAATGCAATTATTGTTCCATTATTGACTTGGTATCGTGCAATGACTTCTGGCTTTAAATCGAAATATCAAAAGAGGTATAGCTGAGATTGTGCATACAATATATGGCATTAAAAACACAAGTTAATACGGATAAAAGACGCTTAAGAGAAGGATAGTACGAAAAATCTATCAATAGAGGTGAAATATAATTCCTTGATTGATTAATTTTTTGCTGATCGTCGTTTATGTGATTATAGACATTTGTTTCTAGCCATTACGATTCTTTTTCTCTTAAAAAAGCTTTTTCAGAAATAATTTATATTCAAATAGTCTATTAACTTCTCAAATATAGGTTGATGCGTAATTTCTATCTTGAATAAGCTTTTTTTTAAAAGATTTAATCTGAATAGTGCTGTTATTTATCAATCAGAGCAAAGTTTGTTTTCGTCTTCCCATAATAAACCAACTGTCTACTCGCCATTTTTCTTATTGCAAGTACGATCTAGTATTTCGATCTTGTACCTGTCATTGTCTGTTGGTTTTAATAATATTATACCCAACGCATCAAAATACGACCTTACTAGTTTATCAAGCTCATCATATTGTTTTCAAGAGTAATGATTAATTTTACAACACTAACTTGCTCAGTACTACTCGAGCCGTGTGAACCATAGTTTGTGTACTCTAGGAAACTTTGTCAAATAAACAAATTAATTCCTTTCAAAAAATAAAACGCTTTTGTCTGTCATTAATTGCAATGACTTTGTTTCAATAGTGAATCAAGTGTATCATGATATGGATTAATTTTTATGTCTGTTTTGTCCTTACAATATTTTGATTGTTCAACGCATTCTCTGCATGGGTAGTACAAGATCGGTTACAATCAATACATTTTTAAAATTATAAGTTAATACGTCCCCTTTTATTTTGAACTTGTTTTTTGTACCTATCACGTAAACGGAAACAATTTTTAATAGTGATTCTGAATCTAGTCAACTTGTAAGACCTGTATTAAATGCATTTTTAATTTGGGAGTCTTTTGATTTACTTTGAATCACTTTCAAGTATTTAAAAGGTCTAATTTGAGTTTATTCAATATGCAGTGATACATGATATTTTTCTTGACATACTTTACATACTTCTTGTGTGCATTTTCTACGTGCATGTTCTTCTAACAAACAATTAAAGCATTATCTTTATTTTCTCACGAAACTCCATCGTTGAAAGGATAAAATTCAATCACAATCGTTTGAATTTCCAATATTTTGATTTTTATGACTACAGTAAAAACAATGATAAATAGATGCATTTTTGGTTGATGATTCGTTCGAATGAATAGTGTTAGTGATTATCACTAGATAAGCTTGCGTACTCTGCTCCATCTTTTCATGCGAGTAACGATCAGATCTTTTACTTGATCTGAGCTCAGATATTTAACGATTATTTTTTTTCACGTGATGAATTTGACTGAGATTCAATCATACCTGCCACTAGGGAAGATTGGGCTTCATCGTACAAAAAATTTGAAATTTTTTCCAAGTCTGATTTTTCAACTGAGATGTTTGCCACAAAATGTCTATAATTATACATCATTGAACTTAGAAGCTTTTGGAGGACTTTGTTTTCTAGATCTGCACTATATAATGTATTTAAATGGTTTGAGTTCTAACTACGTTAATTGCATTTTAAAAATTAGTAGTAAAATCTATGAATCCCAAATTATGTGGTTCTATGCACAGCAATTCTTTTATTTGATTGATTATTTTTGACAAAATTATTTTTCAAAGATAAAGTTTTTTGCATTAAATCAAAGAAATGCGTTGCTGACTCATCGTTTGACTAAGTATGATTAGAAAAGAAACTATTTTGCTTTCCAGGTCTATGATTATATAAAGGATCAGATAAATTGCTTAATTAATTAGTGTTTTAAAATCGCAAGTGTTGATGTCCTGTGGAGCACAATGGAGGAACAAAAGAAGGTTATCTATGGAATAATCTATTTTGATCAAATTAGAACTGAGCAGTTACATTTCTTTTTAAAGGGTGTAAAAAAATGGTATCAAAACGTACGTTTCTTTCAAAAACATGAAATGGATTGTTTTCCAATAAATCACAAGTAATCAAAGAAGACAAATGTAGAGATTCGTCAAAGATTTCATTCTCAAACTCTGGTTTTGTAGGTGGACACCGGGGGTGTAAGATCATACACTTACTGCATAAACGGGAACCAGAGCTTGCAGCTCTACGTGGTCGTCAAAGTTAGCCATGAGGGCCCGGGTTATGGAAGGACGATGGGGACGCAAGGTCTTGCAGCCACCGTATTAGCAGAAATCAGAACTTGCAGCTCTACGTTAGAACTGGAGCATATCACCAAGTCAGAACGATGTTCCCAAAACGATTTAGGGTATGTTTGCTATGTAGTTGTAACCGCAACTTGACATCGCTTTCCTTGGTCTACTTTCCTGTGACGAGACTCTCTCTTACACATAATTTTAAAAATCAATGAACGGGAATACTTTAAGTAAGCCATTGTTTATATAGGAGAAGTTAGTAAAATTTTTAATTAAAAGTAAATTTTTTTTATAATATTTGGATTACCTTAACATAGCCAAAACATTTTTTTATATACATTACGACAAAAGCGATAAAATAGTGTTATTTTTCGTTCTCAAGAAAAGCATTGTAGTGAAACTGTGAGTTAAAAATACTAAATCATTTTTATAAATTTCATAATAATGCATACTACTAATTTAAAATTTGTTTTTAAAACAAAGTTCCTTTTCTCGCGTCATGAGTTTTGGGCGTATGGGAACTAGACCGGAAAAAGTGTAACAAGTCTTTTTTCTAATCTCGCTATAGCAAAACAGCCGTTTTTAAAGCTATATACATTGCCACAGTCAGCTCTCTCTCTCTCTATCTTCATGCGCGCAGAAAGACCAGACGGCTCTCTTTTGCTTGGCCTTATTTGTTTATACTCGGTCAGTAGATCCTCCTCCCTGCGTCGCGTACCGTTAGAACTATCGACTCATTTATAGCAGCTGCTGTTAGTATATACTTATAGCTTTAATCAACATAAGAATATAACGTATTAGTCTCTTCCCACTTCGCGTACTCCACGCTATTGCACCGATTCTACTGGCTGTAAAAGTGGCTGTTGGATTTATTGCCCTAAAACAAAAAGTGCGATACCATTTTATGTTGTTCAGTCGAGGGAAAATTTGTCATTTCACAACAGAATTTTTCCAGAAATATGGAAAAAATAGTTTTGTCCAAATCTGCAGTTAACTTTTTTTTTTTATTACAAACTTATTGTTTGTTGTCATCTTTTTATTAAATTTTTTGTTTTGATCTCCACCTCTATAACTCGTAGAGTAATTTTACGACCGACAATCTTTTTCTCATTAAGTTTTCTACAAAATAGACAGCTTGGAAAATTCATTATTTATTTATATAACAAACAAATGGTAACAAAGGTTAAAAATAATTTTTTAGACCAAAAATTTAAGTTTTTGTCACACTTTAAGTTTTTATTTTTTTCTGATCCCGTAGGACATGTGTGAACACCAAACAAAATTTATTACCGTACTCGAACCTAATACATACTTAAATTACTGATTTACTCGTAATAATAGACCTAAAAACCATTGGTAACACAATTTTAAAACATAGATAATAAATTATTTGAAAAGTTATAGATGGTCTTCATATAAAAATTAAATAAAACAATTTTTTTCAATGCATTAAGAACCCTTACTTTTTACTTATGTTTTTTTTTTTTTCGAATTTCAAACAAAACAGACCTCAATCGTTAAAAAGTTTATAATAATTCTACGTAATGTTTGTATGAGTCCACCTTACAATCACAAAAATACTGGTAAAATAGCAAAAAAAAAAAAAACTCGTTAAAAATATTTCATTTGATACTTAAAAATATGCTTACACAAAAAATATGTAGAACTTAATAGTTTATCCCTCATCGAGTAATGAAAAATTTTCTGAAAAAACAATTTTAAGAAGATAATTGTGAAATTTCTGTGACTTCTGGCAGCCATCTTAAATCTGTCATTTCAAGATTTCTTTTATTAGCATCAAAACTACTCTCTTCTTTTTCCTCAAACGGTGTACCACCAGTTTCCTATTAAATCCTGTGGTAAAGATAATGATTTAATTACTAGTAATGGAATAAGTGTTAAAATTTGGGGTTGACTTTTCATTTTAAGGTTAGGTGAGATTTTTATACTTATACAATGCAAATATTTAAATTTTGACATTTTATTCGTGATCAGAATATAAATTTTTTTTTGGAAAATACGTCTTCCGAAAAAAATTGGGAAATTCCAATGATTACACGCGACGATTTTTAATATTTATCTTAAGATTAAAAATATTTGTTATCAGTAATCGTTACCATTTATTACGAATTTTGGATCGAATGTTCTAATAAAGATAATAATCTTACTATTGCTAACACAAAAAGTAAGGAAATTGGAGGTACATCTTTATTCAAAAAGTTAGCGCTGTATTAGGATCAGTTTTGTATTGTATTACTTTAATTTACTAAAAGAAATTACAAAAAAAAAAGCAAAAAAAAACATATTAATCGATCTTGCCGTCTAGGAGATGTTTCGTTTTGTATATATTTTACCCTTTCAGAACGTAGTGCCACGATGACATGTAGGCTTTTCCTAACTTTCTGACATCTAATACATTTGTAGATTATACAAAATGACGAGGTTTTTATTTTCATTACAGTAACTGGCTAATAAGTTGTGCATGATTAAATGAAGGGTAATTATTAGGAAAGTAACTTTCTTGCTGTACCATGCTGTGATTTTAAAGTTATAATATTTATTGACTAGAAATACAGCAACTACAGAGGGGTGTTTAGATAGTGATTAAAAACGAAATAAGTTCAACTTTTTTTTTCTTTGGTTCTTGACCGAATAATAGTTTTATATTCGTCTAATAGAAAACTTGTGCTATTTATTTAAATTCTTAACTGTTTGCTTCTAAAGTGTAAAACACATACATAAAAATCTCATAAGTTCATTAAACTTAAATAGTTTCACGCCCTCAGTTACATTTTTACCCATGCATGGCGAGAAAAGAAATAAAAAAAATTGATTATAAATTTAAGTTACTAGTAAGTGTACAACCTTCCTTCCACTTTTTCAGTTTTTTGCAACAGAATTACTAAAGTTATTTGTAAAAAGTTGTTTTCAAAGTAGTAACAATACTAAATGCGTATGTTAACATAAAAAAACATTCTAGATATTTTAATACTCATATTTTTGCAGTAAGTATGCAATTATTCTATGACATAAGTTTAAAAAATTCAAGTAGTTGTCTATTTATGCATAACTTTGTAGATTTCTAAGTTACATAGACATTGAGAGAAAGTAGAAAAAATATTTAATTTCTTTTACTTCGACAATTAAACATTAAAGGTTAAAAAGTTGTAGCTCAAGATGTTACACTAAGAATAAAGAACTAAATGTACAAATAAATCATTTTTTTCTAAACACCATCTTTTTACATCGTAACTTGTAAGTATAGAAATATTTTAAAAATCCAGTATTCAATAACGTCAACCCTATTTCAAAAGTTTTTTAAGCATTTTAAAAATTTGTTTATGCACTTGCATACTGCTTATTATATACATTAAGCATTATCGTCTTTTAATGTGAAAGAACTTGTATAGAAGAAAAATGAATTTCAGTAAATCTGTACTCATTATAACTTTGAAAATCTTTAACTGGTAAGAAAAATTTTTTTATATAAAGCTTGAAAAAGAATGCTCAATAGTTATACTACTGGCCTTAAGATAACTGTTATTCCTAGCACTAATAAACATAGATAGTTACGTATAGTTACTTATTTTTTTAATTCATAGAATCTTAACAACAACAATTTACAGAAAGAAATAAAAGAAATAAAAACTAACCTGACAAACTTTGGCTTGTGTTTCATCTAGTGGTTTACCAACAGCAGCACCTGCAGGACTCACATGCTTAAATGAAGTAGCTGCAGGAATCCCTAAAGCAGCCTTAAGTTCTTTGACCAACTGATATCCGTTTAAAGCATCACACAAATTGATGTAACCTGGTGAACCATTAACTACGGTAATTGGCAGTTTATCAAGTGTCGTATACAGCTGGGCTGGTTTTTGGTGAGGGTTCATACCATAGCGAAGAGTCATTTGGGACGACCCAGATTTATATTGACGTCGAAAAAAGTTTGAAATTGCATCATCGTACTGGGCCGTGAGCGTAAACGCCTTAACTGCAAGGAATTGTCTAAAAAAAAAAAAAAATAGGATTAATTCAGAAATGAAAACACATCTTGAAACATTAAATTACGATGAGATAAATCTTAACAGCATACAACAAAACGATTGTATAAATTACTAATAATTTCTTTTAATAATATGTATTATGTTAAATTTAACAAAGAGGTGTTAAAAAATTATTATTTTCGCAAATAGATGGTCTTCATATAAAAATTAAATAAAACAATTTTTTTCAATGCATTAAGAACCCTTACTTTTTACTAACACTAACTTGCTCAGTNAGTAAGTCGCATGGCCGAACGTAAAAGAAAATGATAATAGTCGTCGGAGGTGAGTTCCAAGAATTTAAGTATAAACTGTTCGCGTATGACAACGACTGTAAGGCGAACTTGATATTGTTATGATCTGGCGTATATTAAAGCAATACGTACAAGGTCAGCGCCACTGCTCGTTGGATCAACCAAAAGAAAATAATGAATAAGCGCGTGACGACGTCTGTGCGACACAAAAACAAAAAGAAAATCAAATCCAACACACGCCGCGTTTACGGTTTTATTCCTGGAAATTAGATCCTTATAGAATAACCAGGCACTCTAGCGTGTTGGTGCTTTTCATATATTCGTAAACAAACAAAAGAAAAATCACTTGAGGTCTTAACAAAAAATCAAACGAGGCCAACACTATCTTCTTGGCCGGTTTGGCGATGCAAAAAACAAAATATTATAACGCAAGTACAATGCACAGCGGCCCTTAGAATAAATAAAATCGAGCAGACTAACTAAATTAAAGAACGCACACAAAATAATTTTTAGATCATAACCACACGGGCGAAGAGACACACAACTAATGAGCGCATTAACGGAAAAAAAAGACACGGAGCAAGAATCGCACGGAAAACGCAGAGAAGAAACAATTGCAAGCCAGTAACTTAAACGAGAAAGAAAAAAAAGGAGAACAACAAAACAAGATGTTATACAAAAAACCAAGGAAAGTTCCGTCGTTCGAGCTAAGCAGATTGAAGGGTACCACTTGGTTGATTATTAGACAACCATGGGCCAAGGATTACCCCCTCGATCGTGTGAGAGCTGGACTCACTGCCTCACTCTCCGACGGGTAGCTCCTACTCACTCCTATCCGATGTTCAGCTCCCGATTTACTTGATTTCGCTCGGGCGTCCTGGGACTAACTAACTCTCCTCGGCTCAGCCTCGACCCCTTTCCCTTTGCTCCCCCCTTTGCCTCTCTTTTTTTTCGGTGGTGTACCTGCGGCCAACCTGCGCACTTACAAATTGCGCAATTCCTCCTTTCAAAAAGAAAGGAAAAGGAGAGCAAGAGGTCCCACGTGACTCAGCTTGCGCGTTTGCGCACCTACACCTTGCAAGACATTGCACTGATAATAATAAAAATAAGACTAAAAATGATGATAATTGTGGTTAAAATGATTGTGGTAATGATAATGACGATTATAACGACCATAATAATAATGATGATAATAAACATGATAAAGATGATAATGGTTACAATAATGATAACATTACTAATTATAATAATCATGCTAATGAGGAGTATGATATATATAATAATAATAATGATAATAATATAAATCATAATGATGATGATAATAATAATGATGATGGTGATGATGATGATGATCATGATCATGATGATGATGATGATGATGGTGATGATGATGATGATCATGATCATGATGATGATGATTATAATAATGGTGATGATGATAATGATGAAAGTGATGAAGATAATAATAATGATGATGATGATGATGATCATGATGATGATAATCATGATGACGATGATGATAATAATGATGATGATGATGAAAATAAAGATATCGATTAGAATAACAATAATGATAACAGTCAAGATAATAAAGATAATATGAAGATAATAATAGTAGTGATTATGAGAATGTTAATGTTAATAATGAAGTTTATTAAAGTAGTAATGTAATCAAGGATAATAATGATGACGATGATGATAATGACAATTATAATGATGATATAGACGGTAATGTAGACACTAACAATAATGATAGTGCTGACGATGAAAACGTTAAAAAAAATGCTCATAGCGATAACAGTAATAAAGATGTATTAAATAATAATGATGATATGGATAATACTGCTGATAATAATAATAGTAACAATGATGATTAGAATCACAAAGCTAATGGTGATAACGTTGATGTTGATAACTCTGACAAGAATAATAAACATATTGTTGCTAATAATAATAATGATTGCGATAGTAATAGAGATAATAATGATGTCAATACTTATGCTGACAACAATAATACTTAGAATTTAGGTAGTAATAATTATGCTGACAATGACTTTAATAATGTAATTATGATAATGATAAGGATGATGATAGTAATGATGTTAAGAATGATTGTGTTAGTGACGATAATAATAATAGTTTAAATCATAATGATAATTACAACAAAAATGATAATTTTAATGTTGATGATTTTGAGAGCAAAAACAATAATAATGGTGTTAATGATAATATCAATAATATCATTGCTTTTTCTACTGCTACTATCTTCCTAAACATAACCAATATACTTGTTTTATATTTATGATAACCATAGCCGTAATAATAACCTTAAAATAATGATAATAATGACGCTAAAGATAATGATAATAATATAAATAATAATAATAATGGTGATAATAGCATAAGTAATAGACTGAAAGGGTCTCTTTTATATGAGAAAGTAGTGTGGGTGGTAAGGACAGAGGTTCACATACAGTACCACAACAAAAAAGAATAAATACGATTGAAATATGATTTATTATAAAAATAACAAAAATAATAGCAACAATGTGTGTTAATTTATCATTCGAATAAATCGCATACAAATATCAAAACGTAACGTCCAGTTAACAAAATTGCCGCGCTGGTGAAAAACAAGTGGCATATGGCCGGTAACGCATAATATAGTGTGGTAAAAAAATGTACCTACACGCAAAAAAAAGAAGAATACGCAGAAATGCAAATGTAATAGTAAATACGGCGTGGGACTAGTTTTGAGTAAGTCGCATGGCCGAACGTAAAAGAAAATGATAATAGTCGTCGGAGGTGAGTTCCAAGAATTTAAGTATAAACTGTTCGCGTATGACAACGACTGTAAGGCGAACTTGATATTGTTATGATCTGGCGTATACTAAAGCAATACGTACAAGGTCAGCGCCACTGCTCGTTGGATCAACCAAAAGAAAATAATGAATAAGCGCGTGACGACGTCTGTGCGACACAAAAACAAAAAGAAAATCAAATCCAACACACGCCGCGTTTACGGTTTTATTCCTGGAAATTAGATCCTTATAGAATAACCAGGCACTCTAGCGTGTTGGTGCTTTTCATATATTCGTAAACAAACAAAAGAAAAATCACTTGAGGTCTTAACAAAAAATCAAACGAGGCCAACACTATCTTCTTGGCCGGTTTGGCGATGCAAAAAACAAAATATTATAACGCAAGTACAATGCACAGCGGCCCTTAGAATAAATAAAATCGAGCAGACTAACTAAATTAAAGAACGCACACAAAATAATTTTTAGATCATAACCACACGGGCGAAGAGACACACAACTAATGAGCGCATTAACGGAAAAAAAAGACACGGAGCAAGAATCGCACGGAAAACGCAGAGAAGAAACAATTGCAAGCCAGTAACTTAAACGAGAAAGAAAAAAAAGGAGAACAACAAAACAAGATGTTATACAAAAAACCAAGGAAAGTTCCGTCGTTCGAGCTAAGCAGATTGAAGGGTACCACTTGGTTGATTATTAGACAACCATGGGCCAAGGATTACCCCCTCGATCGTGTGAGAGCTGGACTCACTGCCTCACTCTCCGACGGGTAGCTCCTACTCACTCCTATCCGATGTTCAGCTCCCGATTTACTTGATTTCGCTCGGGCGTCCTGGGACTAACTAACTCTCCTCGGCTCAGCCTCGACCCCTTTCCCTTTGCTCCCCCCTTTGCCTCTCTTTTTTTTCGGTGGTGTACCTGCGGCCAACCTGCGCACTTACAAATTGCGCAATTCCTCCTTTCAAAAAGAAAGGAAAAGGAGAGCAAGAGGTCCCACGTGACTCAGCTTGCGCGTTTGCGCACCTACACCTTGCAAGACATTGCACTGATAATAATAAAAATAAGACTAAAAATGATGATAATTGTGGTTAAAATGATTGTGGTAATGATAATGACGATTATAACGACCATAATAATAATGATGATAATAAACATGATAAAGATGATAATGGTTACAATAATGATAAAATAATAAAAAAATGATGATGGTTATGATGATAATGATAATAGTATGATAATAAAAAGGATGGTAATAATGGTACAAATTAAGGTGGCAATGATAACACTAACGGTTATGATGATGATGATAATGATGATAAGGATGACGATGATAATAATGTTAATAATGTAGATGATAATAATGTTAATAATAAAAGAAGGAAACATTATAACAATGTTAATAATAATGGAACTGGATTAATAATAAAAATAAAAGTAATACGGACTTAAAGGTGCAGCAGGGAAGATAGAGTTGGTACTATTGACAAGAAAAGAGAAAGATACCATCATCCCTCTCAAGGTACAAGAAGAGGAAGTAACGACGAAGAATACCGTAAAAGACCTAGGGGTGACGCTACATAGAAAGCTTAAAATTTGGAGCCACCTTAGGCAATCAGCAGACAAGGCGGTGGCAAGAGTAGCGGCATTAAGCTGAATCATGCCAAACGTTAGAGGTCCAAAGCCTGCAAAACACAGGCTCCTTATGTCTATGGCCCAGACTATTATTTTATATATGGCTGAGATATGGGAAGATGAGATTAACGTCGAAAAGAAAAAAGTGAAAATCGGCCAAGTTCAAAGAATAGGAGCCTTAAGGATAGCTTGCGCCTATCGCACAGTCTCAGAGTTTGTGATAATGGTGGTAGCGGGCGTAATCTCCAATAACATCG